CGCCGCGCTATTGGCAAACTTTGGGGACCATCCCCGAAGTCTGAAAAATAAGGGGTTGTTGAATAGCAGAGGCATTGAGGGGGGCCACTCCCGAATTCTGGGTGAGGCGATCAAACGACTGCCTATCCTAGAAGGGAGATCGGACTCGCTCACTCCTCAATTCATATTAGGGAAAAACTATCACATCTTCTTTTTAGCAGCGTCAGAAAGTCGAGAAAAATTCACCAATGTTTTGTTAACATTATTTTTTGAAATGTTTGAACTTTAAAGGATCACGATCCCAATGCCGTAGACGGCAAATAAGTAGTATTATAGGGTATAGGCCAGGTGACCTGCACCTGTTTCTGTTTATCTATTAATGTAGTTATTATGTTACTTACCCACTGTAAAACGTAAATCATTTGTATATGACTCGCCTGTAAGTGCGGTTGTATGTGTTCAATTCGTGTGAAGCAGAAACTATTTCGTATGTTAAGGGTGAGTTTTAACTACTTTCTTAATTTAAACTTGAGTTCCTTTCTATTAAAGGTTTTAAGGGTGAAAATATTTAAAAAATGTACTAAATACTAAAATTTACGTGCGTGCGAGTCATAAATAATTCATTTCTAAGAACATGTGCTCTGCTCTTCGGTAGGACATCCTGCATAATTACCAAGCAAAATGAGTGTCGAAGGATGTACTTTCAATTGAACACCAAAAACCTCAAGTTCTCTAATACCGCTTGCTTTTAATCAATTTCTATTGGAATGAAAAACACATTATCATTTGGAAATTAATGGAATCGATTGCACACTCGATTTCTAACGTTATCAAAACAATGCACAATTTGGGTAGAGCTTTAAGCATCTTAAAAGATAAAAAAAGCCATGGAAACGACTTTCCCTTTAGAAAACTAAAAATTTTGTACGTCAGATTTTAAGCTTATACAGTCATTGTGGTAAATGGCGCGTGCATCAGAATGATACGAGGTGATGCTTATATAATGATGATACGTGCTTGAAATGTTAACAAAAAACCAGCGCAGTTATGTTTAGAGACACTTATTTCGTGTGTGGCGAAATTACATCCGTTCGTTTGGTCACAGTACAAGCACTCTGCATATCGATTTATAACAATTCAGTATTACTGGATCGTTTAGAGTGAGCATTTAATAAACTACCATAATGAATTTGTTTTAAATACACATTTTCACATTGTTTATGGGAATAAGAAAGCTGCTACTTTTTAAGTACCCTGTACCAATTTTCTACCGGACCATTTCTTTTCATTTGCCCTGGACTTTTGCGAAATTTTGAAGTTATAAAAATGTCATGGTTCTAAATTATTTTTCAAGCAAACATTGGTCTTGGTTGATGTAAAAGAATAGATTGGTTGAGTGCAGTTCAAAAACCGTACATTTATTTTTACGTAGTTTTTCAGTAACTTCAGAGGCAACTAAATAGCGAAAGTCCAACTCAGGTTCAGAAGGGGCGCCTATAATTGCACTTACTGACCAAGGGATTACCAAATTTTAGCCCTTTAAGACAAACTTATTCTGACGTATTTTAACGATGAGAATAATTCCAATTGGCACATTGGCATACACGTTTAGGATATAGAAGCGACCAGATTATTCGACTTTTGGGAAAAATTGGTGTGAGATATGTTAGGCGACCATTTCGTCCACATAAAAATTTGGATTCGTGTTTTTGGGGTTTCGCAGTTATCCGTTACAGTCCAAGTAAAATTATAAGATCAAACGAACTTACCTTAAATGATCTTCGATCTTGATTATATGAAAGCCCCGTTGAAGAAAATGAAATTGTCTTACTTCCGCTGCACTTTAGAAAAACCACACTTTTAAAGTGAAACAGTTCAAGTGTGACTAGAGTGCTTATTCTGGAATGCTTCCGAGTTGTAGAGCCGAAAAATTCCCTACTACCAGGGAAAGGTGTCTTTGATAGGAATAAAACATAGGATACCATTACTGAGATACCCAGTAAAGGGCTACAATAAGTCCTTCTGTTAATAATTTTTTGAAGAGTCCTCAGCAATACGGTAAAGGGAGGGAAAGCATTGAAGGAGAAACACTCCAATTTGGAGTAGAAGTATTTACCGTGAAAGTTTTCGGATTTTTGCTCTAGACACGAATTTCTTGCATTTTTTTGCCAATCGATTATCTAGCAAATCGATATCTGGAACACAAAATTTTTCTGCTGATATTTACATTTTTTATTTGGTAAACAGACACATAAACATTTATTAATTGTCTTAACATTACAGATATGAGTACGATCTTCTACATCGAATTCGAAACTGCTTATCGGTCGTCAATCAGGAAAACATCATTCGAAAGTCACAAGGTCCACAATTGACATCTTTGGGTGAGTTATAATTGTCTTTTTGCGTTCGTTGACTTGATTTCGTTAGTGACCCTTCGCAGTTTTTTAAATATTGAGAACTAATCTGCTAAAGCCAATCATTTAACATGCATCAAAGCAAAACTGGTCACAAGAAAATACATATTTTTTTCATATTACCAATATCTCAGACACATAGGTCAACATGTTCTGAAACGACATGTGTCTTCAAAGGATTTCAAATGTTCATTCAGAGGACTAATCGAAAAAGTACGAATCGTTTTGGATTCTACGCACCAAAATTAATAAGAAAAAGTGTTTTCCCGAGAAATTTTGGTGTAGTCGATTTTTGGCAAAAAAGAAAGGTTGTACACTGCCTTTTTTTGAGGCACAAAAAAAAATTGTCTCAGATCGACCGGGAAAAAAAATTTCTTATAGAATGAGGCCTGTAGAATCCACAATTTCAAACAGTTCCAAGATTGGGCTACTAGTTCAAAAGTTACGTCTATAACTTTTGATTGAGAAGTCTAATCGAAAAAGTACGAATTGTTTCGGATTCTACGCACCAAAATTAATAGGAAAAAGTGTTTTCCCGAGAAATTTTGGTGTAGTCGATTTTTGGCAAAAAAGGAAGGTTGTACACTGCCTTTTTTTGAGGCTCGAAAAAAAAATTGTCTCAGATCGACCGGGAAAAAACATTTTCTTATAGAATATGGCCTGTAGATGCCATAATTTCAAACAGTTCCTAGTTCAAAAGTTACAGCCCTTTGAATAAGAAAAAGTGTTTTCCCGAGAAACTTTAGAGTAGTCGATTTTTGATAAAAAACGAAGGTTATACACTTGCTTCTTTTGGGTCGGAAACAAAATTGTCTGAACTGTTTGAAATTATGGATTCTACAGGCCAAATTCAACTGATTTGATCTAATTTATTTCGTTAATATCTCAGCTCTTTTGGGATACATACTTACCCATCAAAAGATCTTTTTTAATTCAACTTCACTTTTTAGGCGGTGTCAAGCAGTACCTACCTCCATCACTAGCTATCTAAAACGACGACACTTTTCCGATGCGAAGACCGACGGAACTAGTCACCTCTGCAGTTGTCAACAAAGACCAACATTCTTAGGTAGGACAATGAAATCCTGTCTACACGTTTACTGGATAATCTTATTGTTGTAGGGATTGAGTACTATTCACCATCACCACTTCGAATTCGGCGCTGTCATCATCATCATTCCGGTCCATCCGTAATCCAGATTTACTCTAAGGTAGCTACTAGTCATATACGTATTAAGTTATTTATTTTTTAAGTTATCACTGTTACAAGATCTTTGTAATACAAAAAGGAAACTTATTTCCTTTGTTCATCTCTAGAATAATATTGTACTGCCCTGACTGCACTTTGCTGGCAGCTGGCTATTTTGTTAATTAACAAGGATTAAAAATTCAGAATAAAAAAGTTTAAAATTTTATTGTTTTTTTAAAACATTCCTTTTTACATCTTTTTTGAATTCAAAAAACTTTTTTGAATAACTTTTTTAATCACTCCTAACTTTTTTGAATCACTCCTAACTTTTTTTTGAATCACTCCTAAACTTTTTTGAATCACTCCTAACTTTTTTGAATCACTCCTAACTTTTTTGAATCACTCCTAACTTTTTTTTGAATCACTCTTAACTTTTTTGAATCACTCCTAAACTTTTTTGAATCACTCCTAACTTTTTTGAATCACTGCTAACTTTTTTGAATCACTCCTAACTTTTTTTGAATCACTCCTAAACTTTTTTGAATCACTCCTAACTTTTTTGAATCACTCTTAACTTTTTTGAATCACTCCTAACTTTTTTGAATCACTCCTAATTTTTTTGAATCACCCCTAAACTTTTTTGAATCACTCCTAAACTTTTTTGAATCACTCCTAACTTTTTTGAATCACTCCTAACTTTTTTGAATCACTCTTAACTTTTTTGAATCACTCTAACTTTTTTGAATCACTCTAACTTTTTTGAATCACTCTAAACTTTTTTGAATCACCTAACTTTTTTGAATCACTCCTAACTTTTTTGAATCACTCCTAACTTTTTTGAATCACTCCTAACTTTTTTGAATCACTCCTCCTAACTTTTTTGAATCACTCCTAAACTTTTTAATCACTCCTAACTTTTTTGAATCACTCCTAACTTTTTTGAATCACTCCTAACTTTTTTGAATCACTCCTAACTTTTTTGAATCACTCCTAAACTTTTTTGAATCACTCCTAACTTTTTTGAATCACTCCTAAACTTTTTAATCACTCCTAACTTTTTTGAATCACTCCTAACTTTTTTGAATCACTCCTAAACTTTTTTGAATCACTCCTAAACTTTTTTGAATCACTCTATACTCGGTACTCGATACTTGTTATTCATCCTAACTTTATAGGCGTGCCTTTGCACTTTACCAAAAAATGACTACTTCAAAAATTACCGCGTAATATTTATTTACAAAAAGTCAATAAAATGGCACATTACCTGCGAGGAAATACCTATTGAAGTACGAGGCCCCTTTGGGGATTTAAACGCACACTAGTTCCTTGGTATATATTATGTACTATTGTGAAGTTTGTTTAGGAAGGGAGGAAATAAAAGAAAGCAATGTTCATCCCTTTTCAGGAAGTACTACCCTTGTAATGTAGTAGATACAAAGTTGTCTACTTTAACTTATATATAGGTAGACACCAACGCCTTCGCCAACGCCCTATTACAATCCATTTGTAGTAATTGTACTACGGTAGTCCGAGGAACGATCTCAAACGAAGTGGAACAGAAGGTTATCTTTTTAACTTCCGGTAATCTTCCTATAAGAGAATACAGATGAGAATACAGATAAAAACCAAAAAAGAATGTATCATCTAGGACATCTAGGTTACTCACCCTGACGAAGAGGCATTTGTCACACATGTGAATACTTTCTTCATAAAACATTGCTGCCAATGAAAGTAAGCTGTGACAAATCGACCGTTTTACTTCATGCCCTGAGGCATTCCCTATGTCTAGGGTTGCCATCTCAAAACTTTGCCAACTAGGACAGGAAGCGTGAAAACCCCGGATTTAGGGATTATAAACCCGGACATATCAACTGAATTTTATAAAAATATTGTCTAAGAAATAGTCTTTGAAATTCTACTTTATTTTGATCACTAACTAGCGAGCTGACTAGACTGTTTCAATATTCAATAATAATATAAAGGAACAAGGGATTAAAACGAGTTTTTGTTCCTGAGAGAATGGTTTAAATTTAATATTTTTTTAAATATTTTTAAGGGAACAAAAACTAATTCAGTGTTGATTATACTATTTTTTCCAATACCGATCGATTTAAATCCATTTTTCTTTTTTTTTACAAGAAAACAAAAATGAGGGATTAAAATTTTTTTAATCTCTAGGGATTAAAATTACCTGTTAATGTACAAAAATTAGGGATTAAATTCAATAAAACAATGTAGGTATTGGAAAAATTCCTTTCTTTGGTCCACTGTTATGCCACTAGTGAAAATATTCTTTCAACGTTGGCATTATGAGCAGGAATGCAAAAAAAGCACCTACCAGGCAATTTTCAATAACTCCAAGTTTAATGACGACAATTATGAATAATTTGATTGCGTAAGTACATATAGTGCACGTAGTAATCTTTTCTGTAGATTGGAAGAGCTTCCTGGTCATTCCATGGCCTACCCCTCTAACTCCATACAGTTTACAGTCGAAGTTAATTACCTATAAAAAAAATTATCAGAAAAAATGGGGGTGGAGGTATTTGACGCACCCGTATACTCCAACCCAAGCGCTGTTGGCCAATTCCAATTGAAATAAGAAACCCCATACGAAAATGTGAAAATTTGGTACATCTGGGACGATCGATCGATTGATTTAATTGGAAAACCTACCACGCAGTAACTTTTCTAACGACTGGATAGTGGGGCATCTCTGACAGCATGGCGACTGAAAATCGTTGACAATCGCAGATTGAAAATCATTTAATAAATATATAGAATGGCCTACTGAAAGCTAACGCGCAGGCTATTTTCTTACAAGTGAATATATAGTACATGTACTCCATATTGAATTAGCAAAAAGCTAGCTAATTGTCAGCCATAAGTTATGATAAATACAGCGTATTCCTTATATATAACTTTCTTTTAAATGCAGTAGGCATCTAAATTAATAAAGTATGGAAACTTTAGAAGGTGCAGTTCATTCACACTTAAATGAATCACTCAGAAGATGCGTAAAAAGGCTTATCACATAAAGGTTTATCACATGGAGTCTGCTGCACACGAATTGATCACATACAACCGCACTTACAGGAGATTCTATTGCAAATGATTTAAGTTTGAGAATAATATATTGTAACATTATAGATAACCGGTAACAGATGCCGGTGACTTGATCATATTTATAGTTTTTATACTTATACAGGGTGGTTAATTTAAGGTGCGCAGAATTCGGATTTCGGAGTCCTTTAAAAAAAAGTGACAAAATCAGCTCCAATAAACCAGTCGAGTTATCGTTTTCGTTTCCATAAAGGAAAGTATTGTAATTGTGATACATTTTCGATATGCCAATATTGCGTTTTCTGGACGTTTTGAAATACACAGACACGAATCGCAAACGTCCTATTTTGGTTTGGATCCGTAACCGTCTTCATGGTTGTTGAGCGTGTCAAATGTTTAAATGAGCCATAACGGCTCGGAAATTTTTTTTAGAGTTTTTTCGAACGAATTGGCTGATGTGGCATTGAAAACTACAAAAAAGTTCATTACAGTTTTTTTTGGAATTGGAAATTGAAATTTTTAGTTTATTTTCTTAAATTTGCATTTTTCTGGAAAAGTAAGCACAAAAAAATGTTTCTTGATGAGCTCTTTTGCGTTAGGTCCAATATAAAATAAAGTAGCCAGACTGGCAGAGGACTTTTTTTAAATGTACTCTGCCTGTTATTATAAGTAGTCGGTCAGGTCAAGTCAGGAGTTTACCTGGAGCCTACGTTTTTGGATAGGGTTTTTCAGCATTTCGTCCAAAGAAGAAATTTGGTCTCGAGGATGTAGAGTTTTGCACGCGATTACCTCACCAAGGGTCGTTCGGATGTAAAATACGCTGTGCCTTGGGACTGCGTTTGAAATCTTACATGAAGTCGATTTTCACCTCGTACAAATAATAACGGAAAATCAGAGAGGGCATACCAAAACTCTTGATAACGGCCCCGCCGTTAAGAAAGATAATTCAATAAGTTTGGATCCCATTTCAATTCAAAAGTACGTCCCTAGGGCGCCGAAATTGCCAGAACAATAGTTTTGTACTGAATATAACCTGAATATACACCGAAAATTACTTAGACGGCCTTTATGAAATCATTCTGGAACCGCAGAGTTCCAACTTAAGTAAATTATAACCCCGTTACATTTTATTTGGATAGATTAACATGCAAATAACTTACTTTTCGGCGAAACGTTCGCGATAAAGAACCAAAATTTTTTAATTTGCATATTGACTTTTTGAACTGATAGAGGTGAAATGTAATTAGGCGATTTTTCGTGAACGGAAAGGCCAAAGAGAGTACAACAAAGTGAGTCTGGTCGGTGTTTAATGAATTTCTTTTAACTTAATTAGAAAGGTCGTGTATAAGAAAAACGGTTAAAGATAACAAGTTAAACTTCGTGCGGATAAGAGAATTTTCTTAACTTGTATCGTGCTAAAGCAATGCCATTCTCTTAGATAAAGTTACACCATAAAAAGTTAATTAAGAAGTGCGACACACAATATTGGCGTTATATTTAAAGTGAATTTGTGCATAACAATTTCTTTTATGCCAACCCCCATTTTCTACACAGCAAAAGTTCATTAATTACGCTTTTAATGGAAACGTGTCGTATGACATCATTTAAAATGCTATATCCAAATTTAATTAACTGACGTGTTTAGCATATGTTGTGTGTAAACTCTTAACTAAATTTAATGTAGTAAAACAGTTTTCCCGATAATAGGGAACGTATAACAATGTTCGAAGCGTGAGAATTAAAATATGTAACTTTGTGTTGGTAATAACTTGATAATATGGGTAGGTGTACGTAATAAAATTTAAACTTTTTACCCCGAGAAGTTTCTGCCGGAATAATAATTTCAGTGGCTCTGTTTAGAGTTTGGGTGAAAAAGTCATTTATAAACATACAGTAACAATAAACGTATCAAAATACGATTTTACAGTTCCACTGAGTTCTTTCTAATGCCTTTTGTGAAGCTTCAATTAGTTTGCCTCTCTTTCACAGTATGACACGAGATTTAAATTACATAAGGGGAAAATAGTATGGTCTATGACAAACTGTTTTGTTTGTAGTAAAAACTGTCTTTTAATTTGTGTAAATTAATCAAATGGAACAAAGGTAAAAACCAATATCCAAATAAAGAATATTGCTTTGCCCTAGTGTGGTTACATTTTTATCTCTTGCTATAACTTTACATAGGGTGAATTGTTTTCGGAAACTTTGAATGTTTTATTTACACAATATACGTTATTATTATTATTATAAATAAGGCAATCGAAGTAATAGATAAGCAATCGCAAAAGAATCCGGAAGAGCAATTTTGCATTTTTTAAAATTCGATTTAAACATCTGTCAAATTTCCAACAATTTTTTTAGAAATAAATTTTAACACAAATATTATTTACTGGAACGGATCGTTACAAATAAAGGGTGGTTCGGTAATTCTGACACGAGTAAGGGTGTAAATTTGTATTGGTATTTTGCGGAGGGTTGAACATTTTCTCTGGTTCGTGTTGTAATTTTTCCTGGTAATCTCTTCGTTTTGTTATGTTTAAATACCTTTGGAACTTACCTTTTTGGTACTTTTACTTTCAGCTACCTCAAGATGATATAAAATTAGGAAATAACTCAATTCGTTCCGCTTTCAAAAATTTGGAAAAATACTGATTGATAATGCTATACTCCAAATGTTTTGGAGAGTTTATGTAATCCTCTTTGCAACAAATATCTCCTTGTAGAACAACAATAATTCCAAAAGTGATTTAAAAATTGAAATGCATTTAACATTGATTTTGGGAAATTTCGTATAGACACTAAAAATTATTAATTAAAATACCCCTACATCTGAATAACCCTATCTTAAAAATGTAATGATTATGTCCATGTAAAAATGTAATTTTAATAGTTAAAAGGACGACACACGAGTACAAACGCGTTAAAAATGACTCATTTGCATGCAGAACGTAAAGAAAAATAATCCGTACCTTTGTTCCAAATGCAGCCGAAGCCAGTCGCTGACTTAAGCAAAGTTCTCCCGTTTTGCTCTCTGCTGGACTTTACGTAGTGGTTTCGGACAGTGGGCGATCTATACTGCTTTCTCTCGATTGTGGATGGATGTCTTCTTTGTAGAAATTCTTCAAAATTTAATGCTAGCCGGTGAAAAATAACCGCGGGCTGGTTAAAACAAGCGCAGGCTGGGTTAACGAAAAAACGCTGGCTGGTGGAAACAAAACGCGAGCTTCTGTCGTAGATCCTGAAATGGAATGCTGTATTTTGGGGCTGATGTAATTCTTCTTACACAACTTTGTTACTTCTCGCCGAAAGGAAAATTTTTCAGGATACTTCTTTACGTGGCCGCGGTTACAGAGCGAATGCTATTCTAATGTTTCCCCGCGCAACCATTACTTTTCAAAACTGCCGATTATGCGCAACTCAAACTTGTTTATTATTCACATACTTGCACTGCAATCTAGTTTTACATTTTAAGTTAGACGAAAAAATTCAAAATTTTTTCCAATTAAACACTTATGCAAACAATACAATCCTTGAAGCAAACATAAAAACCTTTTCTTTGAAAATTCTAATATCTGAAGTGAATGTGGTCGAAGGACACCAAGGTTTCAAAATTACCAGTACCTACATGATTTGCCAATTGCACGATTACAAAATTTCGGTTTTGAGTGTTTTAAGGCTTCTAGAAATTGTGAAATACCTGTAAAGGAAGATTATAAATATTTTCTATTGTCAACATTTCAAAGATATTCCGAACGAAAATTTTGAGTAAAATTGTGGAAGTCTATTTTCAAGATGTTTAAATTCACGCGATTACTGTATAGGGCACCATACCGTTTATGACCATTTTACATTGAGATTTTGAAAATCGTTTACAGGTTGGCAGGTTAGTAAATACATGGTTCCTGCCAAAGCCAGTCGTTAGGGCTCAATGAAGAAACCAAATTTCCTAAATTTAAATACAAAAATTGAAAAGGAGGGGGTTTCAAGCCCTTAAACCAAGGGAGTTAATCCAGAAAAAGGAGGTTCTTATATTAAGATTAAAAATTTTGTTCAGGAAATCAAGTCTGAAACTTTTGTTCCTGTAGTAAATTGGTTATTATCTGAATATGGGTTTCTTATTAACTATAATTTTTTATTTTACCGTCCTGTTAGTGTTAGAGGTCTCTTTTACCTAGTTCTTTGTCTTGTTGCTAGAGTTCCTCTTCAGTGTACGTTCTGTTTTCGCCTTGGTTACATGCAAATGATTTCGCTTGGTACGCCATTACTTTTCTGACTTAAGAGATTAGTGCTTTGACTTCACTATAATTATCTTTGGAGTGGTTTCTCTTTCTTTTTGATGTCTCTGTGGTGGCTCCATTGAATCGTTTGTACGGATTTATATTTGCATATGAACAATACGAGGGCTTTACCTTCGCTCAAGTTTTACCTTTACTCAAAGTTTTTGAGCTTTCTTTTGTTTCCCATCGTACTTTCGTTTCGATTACCTTAGATATAAAAAATAAATATAAAATATAAAATAAAATAATTGTTAAATACCATCAATAGGAAGCGAACGGTGTTTGTACACTAAGGGGTTGTTCCCCTTGCTTGAGGATAATTGTGTAAGGTTATCTCATAGACTTTTTGCTCAGCTATATTAAAGCCCCACCCTTGCCCTAAGACACCTTTGTTGTAAGATTCGTTTATTGTCCCTTAGAAGCCTATGATTTTCTTGCCACGACAGCTTGTGAAAGATTATCCAATGCCTTTTGTGCTAGTTGAGTTAGACCGAGGCTCACAGAAATGAATACATGGATAGACTATTTAATTATAAATAAATTGGACGTATTACCCCAAAAGGATCTTCAACGACAATTAAGTTTACAATTTTCTATCGACTACAAGGCTGAAAAACAACAATCTGAATAAATTTAGTTAAACAACAGAAAATCCTACATCCGTGTATCCGTATATTCAGATTATACAAAGCACGCGTGAATTTTAGCTGAAAATTTGATTACTTCCCGCAATATATAGAACTGCTGAATTTGGATTGATTAAAAGAAAATAAAACTTATTTTAAATAGCCTGAAATTTTCGAATGAATGAACTTCGCCGCGCGGCTTTAAATCCTCGCAATCATGTTTAAACGGCTAAGGATTCTCTTTCCAAAAGCAAATTTAAAATTTTTTATTCATCCGTATAAGGATCGGGGAAATATTTTCTTCTAACGTGTCTGTCCAACAAATAGTGGAACTAGTGAGACCCTATCTAAATTGGAAGGGAGTTCAAATTCGAAAACGCGAACTTTAAAGACCTTTGGAATCTAATTGTTATGCAAGAGGTATTTTACTTAATCAATAAAGCTACATCCCTTTCATTTACTTTTAAAATGTAACGAAATTAAATTTCTATTTTTACGATCAAGTATAATGTCATCTAAGCTGAAAAGACGGAAGGGATTTCTTGGATTATTCATTTAGTTTTTCACTAATATATTTTTTTAGGGAAATTCGTTTTAGTTTTATGGAGTAATTGATATTTAGATTTATGCCTGAAGCTCAATTTTTTGTATTGCTCAAGTGGATTATGGATTACGATAGGAGGGGCGACACGCGCCTCAAATTCGGGCTCTTTGTCAAGCCATCCCACACGTGATATGAACGTAAGTATTATAACGGGTAGTTGAGTTGGTGCTCCAATTTTTCAAACCCACCGCATAAACGGTCTCAGGGTAAAACACAAAATGAGAGCTTGAGAATCTTCTACAGCGGTAGTTTGTTCTGGGTAAAATGATATTCGGAATCTTCGTTGCAGTTACCAAGGTTGAGCGCCACTCAATTTCTAGCTTGCATCTCCCCGTGTGAAGTTGGGAAGATACAAGGGGATCAGAAAAGTACAAGCCAATTTAAGTACCACGATAAATGCTGGTGTATTGTCAAATAAATATTCAATTAAAAATAAACGCCCTCAATGGGATATCGTACACAAATATTCAAAATACTCCAAAATTATGTTACCCCAAAATCTTAGTAACTTGTCTTTACAATTGAAATCTCCCAGTTCGATTAACCCCCAATCAAAAATAATCGATTGAATTGACTACTGAATTTTAACATATAAGTCTCCACAAATAAACTGATGTTCCGGACATAAATGCGTACATATGGCCAAATACAAGTAAAACATAAGAAAGGCAACGCTTACCTCCATTTAAAAGGAGATCTCATCCAGAGAAGTGAACTCAGTTCCCTCACTTCCATAAAATCTGCAAACAAAAGAAAACTCAAGCCGCAGAGCTCAGAATGCAAAGAAGTGAATAATGCCTGAAGGCCTTCGCCTTACTGTCGCTATTTCAGATCGACTTGCAGTCCGCTAGTGATGGCGTGGGACTTAATTTCAGTTGGAATCGTACTCCTCTCACCTCCCCAAATTCGCTTAGTATCGTAAACTCCAAAATTTAACGCTGGTCGGTGAAAATAACCGCGGACCTGTGAAAAGAACAATCGTAAGATTTAAAAAAAAACAACGCTAGCTTATTTCATTATTTTCATTTCGTCTTCTAACGCAAATTTATTAATGCTTAGTTATTTCTCGGCGAAAACACACTTTTTTACTGCACTACACTCTTACGTCTTTTAGGACCATCTGCCCTTAAATCACAAATTCAAGTCACTAAATGTTAAGTATAAAATTGCAAAGTTCAGACGTTTACGTTTACGCGACTGCGGTTACGGAGCGAATGCCTTCTTTACTTTCCCTACTTCGTGAGTCATAATTGTCGCGATATAATTTCAATTCATGTGCTTACCTCATGCTAAATTAATCTTATGTATTTTAATACATACATATATACGGTCAACGAAATTCAACCTTGAAGTTACACTGTCAATTTCAAATTCTACCCTACTGTAGAAGGTAAAGAGAAATTAAATCGTTTATAATACGCTAGGCCATTACAACAACTCCTATATTTCTTTATCTAGCTAAGTATTTCATATTCACCCAAAAGTGGTCGTAATGTTCTTACAACCTACTAGAATGCTGTGCTTTTCAGTAACAACAAATAGTATTCCCTTCAATGCGCTATTTCGTTTTCGGTCCACCATTGTAGGATTGTATTTTTACGTTCCAGAAGGTGAGGCATCGTTGAAAATTCCAAGCGAGAAATTATCTTAGCGTATGAGGTTCGACATATGATGTAAATTTGTCATCCACCAAAAGATCTCACTTTCTAATATTTTTTTGTTTTTATAAAACCTAGCTCCAGTTTACTTGTTGACAAAAAACCTTAGGGGTGGAACATGTTTAAAATTTCTTCTACATTTTTCGGAATTTTCCATATAAAAGGTAATTAAAAGTATTTGAAAGTAGTCAGATAAACTTCTGACTCGACTTTCCTATAGGAGTAGTACATTTAGAAAATGTGCCCTCTCTTGAACCCGACCCAAAAAGTGTATAAGAGTTTTTTATAGAACTTATCAAGGCACATCCTTTTTGTATTTAACATGTATCAATGTGGTGGTTTAAAAAAAAAGTCTTTAGCAAAAAGATTCAGCGAGTTATGATGAAAATAAGGTCGATGCCCTCGATCCCTGTTTTTTCATCGGCAAAGTAAAAATAACAACCCTCTAATACCACTCAATTAAAATTAGTCGTTACCCTTTTTCAGCTTTCCTTATTTGTGTATTATTAAACAATCTAGAAGTCTTAGCGGTTTAGAAACTTAATTTTGGAATAATTGGAGCTAAAAGTAAAAAACGAATTCTGCAATTTTTTGAAAAATGTTCACAATACTTCCAAAAACTAGAGACACGTAAAAATATTACAATACCAAATGGCAAATTATAGCTATTTTAATTCCAAACATTTTGCTCCCCGGAAATTTTAGGCAAAATTTAAGTGAAATATGGACGGTTAAAACGTGTGTTTATATGCGAGCACTACCTTGTTTGAGCTCTTTAAGCTCACCCCCTTTTAAAACTAAGAGTTTTAAAGCCATCTAATGTAAATAGCATTATAGCTCTTGCAAAAACCTAACAAATGGTTTTAATGAACCTTCTATCATAAACAATAAAGGAGTTATTATAACCAGAAAGTCCAAATGACGAAAATTTAATCAATTAGTCCCTTGACCATTGTCTACTTATTCTGAAAACAGAATTCCAAATAGTTATCATGTACACAGACGGACGAACCGACGGATGGCCAGACAGTCCACAATCATGAACGAGCTGGGTCGATTGTTAATATTGTTCCAAAGCATCTAACAACCGTTATTCAACTCATCTGAGCCAAGCTTTACTCAACTATTAGTTTCCTAGGGTTTGGTAAAAAATAAAGAACACCCCTCGGAATAATATAGATTTTGAAGTGAAGGGTAAGTTAAGCTAGATTCTGTACTATTTTATGTTTCGTTTCCTGGACTATTATATTAGATACATATATTTCATCCACCATTTCATATCATGCAATTTTAAATAATACAAGTCAAAGAGAGAGTCGTGTTCCAATTTTTAAGGTATTTTTATACTATTTATTTAAGGCTCCTCACTAACGTTAAACTTAACGTACAGGTTATCTGTAGAAAACGTTATTTTGCTCATAAAAAATAACGCAAATTAAGGTTTTTTGGTAGATAACCTTCACGTTAAATTTGAGGTTTCTGATACATCGCAGGGCCTACCTATTCAATTTAAATTTTGGGTCGCCATCAAGGATGCGTTCAGGTTTTATGTAGAATGGCCATATCAATTTTGGGGTTGTGGATGTGCATTGTACAAGGTCTGCAATAGATACTTATATACCGTACATAGTATTTGCTAATTTAAATTGAAACTCTTGATTGATGAATTGACAATAAATTTGCAAATTAAATGGGTGTTCTATTTGTAGAAAAATATGAAAATATACCAAATTCATAATAATAGTATACAAAAAAGTGTAAAGAAAACATAACGAGTTTTCAATTCGCAGTACAGGAATACAATTTGCATAATTCCCGGATAACAGCTATAAGACGCCCAACTCGTCGGTTGTTAACTTTCTGAAAATGGCAGTTATCTTAACGAATAAAGTGGAATCCTCTCTCTTGCAAATGTGGGTTAAGCACGAATGCCGCGACACTGAGTGAATTAGAATTATATTCGTTTTATTAAAATTATTAAGACAGTAAAGGACGAACGTGTATGAAAATGTAAGATTAATTATTCGAAAGTATCATTTTGGGGTTATCTCTGGGGGAGGCAACCTTATTCGGGGTTTCCAGTTATATTTAAGGACAGGATTTGTTGTATGTTTAATTATTTGTTGCACATCAGTGAGGGACGATTTTGAAAAATAGCGCAAAGTAACACTGGATTTAATGCAGAGTGCCTGCAACTGACACGTGCAATCCATATTGCATTAAATTTTATTTACAGCAGATCTGTTAAGCTATTAAGGATATTGACGTGAAAACTGTTTGAGTAACTGAAGTATGTATCCACACAATTTCGAATACACAGGACGAGCTGTAAATGACTTTCGCAACATACGAGCCGTATACCTGTAGGGCACTATCAATACACCTCTTTGCGCTAGAATCTCCGGCGATGCCGTAAAATACACCAATAACGCCTCTAAAAGTACATTAGCCGTGAGATATATATCAAATACTGTTGTCTTTCTTGTCAACGTTATGGATTTTGCGATTGGAGTGTTATAGATATTAAATTTTAAGAACTAAAAAAAAGGACGAAATGCTGCTATAAAGGCTAAAGCGGCAGTAAAACTTAACGCCATATCGTAGTCGTTATCTTGGCATAATATAATATTACTTACAGTTTTTAGTATCTTGTCAATGAGTGCAATAAATTTTTGATATTAAGATTAGGATTACAATTACCTACCGTGAACGGCAATAAATAATGTAATACGATTTAGATTGTGTAATGAAGTTAAGACAATAAATATTTATGGTCTTTCTTTGTTAGAAAGAAGTAGTAACCGAGACTACTGAAGTTACCGACTGCAGTATGACTGTCCACATGTACGGTTCAAAATTTCTTGTGAAATGCATTTCTTATTTTCTTAAAAATAATAATTGCAAATAGTTATTTCGGCACAAGGGTACTTTTCGAAAAGAATTAAACAAACAGAACCTTTCAGTCTGTGGTCAGAATATGGGATGGTAAAGGCTTATGGTTGGAATTACCACACCTTAAAAATTTCTGAAATTAACTACATTTATTAAGTTTGGATGATACCACTGCAAGGAATCCAATGTATTCTTCAAGGATCAAACTTTAAAAAACGTGGATGGTCCGGAATTTTTAAAGCTCTTTAGTGAGAGTCTCGAAAAGAATAGTGTCATTTCTAAGGATTGGACAGTCTACAAAGAAATTCTGTTAAATCCCTACACGTTATATTAGAGAAATACTCGTATTTCAGCAATTGAAAAATTACTGAACAATTTGGAGAATGTTTAGAGAACCTCTTAAATCCAATGAAGAAAGTCTAAATATCTCCTAGAGAATATTCAAACAAGTGGTTAAAGTGCAGAGAAAGTGTATAGCAAAATTATTGCTAGAACTAATTAACTAATAGAATTAATTCGACATTGCTTCTCAGTATTGTTTAGTGTGAGGAAAGGTCTCATGCACCAAGGCTATGACTGCTAGAAATTGATTTCTTTCCTTGAGACCTTTCATTAAAGTGAAAGTTTGGAGGTTAGAACGTGAGTTCCCCCTCCACATTTCCAAAAGTTTTACGTGGTACCACTAAATGAGATGAATTGGTTGTTGCATGCAAAAGTTAGGCACGCTTTACTTTCAAAAACAGCATCTCATGAAATAATTCATGCCCCCCCCTTAAGTTAACGAAATGTGATGTTGTCTGGCACACCTTCAATGTATAGGCTATTGCAAAAATTCCAGGACTCTAGGACCATTCCCCATAAAGTAGTTCAAAGCCGTAGTAGTGGGTCCGGATGGACAGACACCGACGGACGGACAAAACGCCAACAATAATTTGTACGTAGTCCCCCTCCCTCATCCCATAACTTGCGACAACCAATTGATCGCAGTTACGCATGTCTTTAGTGGCACCAAGCAAAACTTCTCAAAATAGGGGGCGAACACCCGTTCTCCCTTCATGGTACTCTAATGAATCGCCCATCGAAATGAATTGGTTTGTACGATATTATAATGAAGGGTCTCAACCAAAAGAACTATTCTCTATCAACTACCGCCCTTCTTTTTGACCCCTTATCAAAATACGAGTTTGGAAGGGACAGGTTGTATCCTTCATGGTACTCTAATGAAAGGTTTCAATGAAAGGAATTAATTTCTACAAACCATAATCCTTCTTCTCAACCCCTTACCGGGATCGGTTATAATTCCCTATATCTCAAGAGCGGATTGTCACAAAAAAAGATATTAGGAAGTCGAGAAGTCGAAAATGTTTTAGGAAAGTACCTGCAAAAGACAAACAATATTTATATATTTATATA